ATTTATGTCTGTGTTTTAATGACTGAATTCGATATTGAAGTAGTTGTAATTTTCACAAATGTATGCCACTGAGAGGAAAAGAAGGATCCGATATTAAAATACAACCAATTACATACCAGATACAATATCAGTTGTTCTTATCCTAGAGAACTGACAAGAAGGTGACTATTTCAGTCAGAAATAATGCACATAACACCAAACTGTTTTTTAAAATTACATGTGGTATAATTACGCTCCTAGAATAATGTGGCTACACGAGTTCTATCTTTCTCCCATCCTTTTATTCCTGTTTACTGTGACGTTAATTGTGATGAATTAGATAATTTCACATCCAAGCCATACAGATTCCATTAAAAGTGTGGTATTGCGTTTGATCTATCAATATTACCATTGACCACGCCTGCTCTCTCCTCGGTGTGTCTGTACTTACATTTCACCCAAGGCTCTTTACAGTAAGTCGACATTCTCATTGCAGAATAACAATAAGATTGTGTGATAACGGTGATATTTGCACCGGTGCTTCTCATGCTGATTGGTTAGTTGTAGCGATATGACGTCACTTTGCTTCATTGATAAGAACAATATAACATACTAGTAGTATATTGTTCATGAGATCACAAATCGCATACATCATCTGAACAATAGTCTGACTTCGGTTGACATTTGAGTAACATGACGTTGAGTAATACAGAAAATATCTTACTCTGAACTAGGAATTACTGTTGGTCTGTACCTCGTGAATGGTGTATGTCCCTTGCCATAGAAACGAGTCTGAGAATTCATTCGATCGTGGCTGAAAGTCCATACTTCCTCGTCGCTTGTAATTTATTCTCTTACTATCTGATGTTGTTTTCTATATCCATTGCATCTCAGTGCATACAAATATGATTGAAACAACACGTTAATTAAAAAAAAAATTTACGGCAAAAGACGCTCTTGAGAACAACAATTACACCGCTTACCATCGACTTTCTCCAAAACTCCTGCCTACGTAGTGCACGGCAGCATGTGCAGCATAGGTCTGAGTACCCCATGTCTGTCGTAAGAGTTGACTAACTTGACAATCGGTTGGTCACATCAGCTGCGTGATTAGGGTACGTGCAACCAACCACTGGTTCATCAAAAACAGGACAAAGTGAAATGTCTCGAATTTTGCCGACCATGACGAAAAACAACATTTAATCATTCTGTCACCTACACATGAGTGATTATTGACAAGAATATTTTTAATATGACCCTAAAACAAGAAAACTAACAACGCCGACCCATTCAGAGTTGCCTACCATAGCTATGAAGTGAGCTGTGATTGGGTCTGGGTATATATGATTTGGTAACCTCTTAAACAGATAAATAAGTCTGTGTTTAGAAGAGTACAGGGAACGGACGGCGATAGCCATATTTCTTTAGAAGTCTTTCTTTCTTTTCGTTTGCCATCCAACCGATCCAATAAGTTTTCTTGCTTTTAGAAAGTGCGTCACGGGGAACCAAATATACGGGGACAAGTCATATTCAGGGGATTACAGAGGGTGGTCTGTAGCGCAAGTTTAACGTGCTCACAAAGCCGATTATCTTATTTTGATAAGCTCATTCGGGTGAAACTTACACCAACAAATCGGTGTGCATTGTACCAGACCCCAACATCTGTAAGCTCCACACCATGAACATCGCATCTCTCATGTTCATGTGATTCATTCTCTGCCAACACTTCGATACCCCGCGTTCTCTACATGAGGGGCCAACACTGTATAGAACGATTCCAACACGGGGAAGCCTCACCCATCAACGGTGCAGAGTGTAACATGCTGACCACCGCCACTTGATGCACATTATGATTAATCTATTGCCGGAAAGAGAAGCCGAAAATGATATTTTCTTATAAAATTCACTAAGTCATGCATCGCTGCTGATCATCATCGAGAAACAGATTTGGCAGCTGTCCGTACCTGGGCTTGTGGACTAAAGCCGATTATGGACCTGTCACTGTCAATGGGTTGTTTACAGAAAAGTGTAATTTCGCAGCGTTCAGGATAAGTACAGCAATTTGGCCCGTGTCTAAGCACATTCTGTTCTTGGAGCCACAGATGGAGTCACCCGGCAACGATGTCCTCTTGAAGAAATTACTCTTTCACAACTGACTGTTAAATAATGAAAGTGACCAATTCGTCGCCGGTTGAAGGCGCTAAGTACGGCTTCATTTCCGATGACAAATAAAGTTTGGCGACTCGTGCTTTTGATAAAATAATTCTCATTCATATGGTCTAGAAAGTGATTGGCCTTGTAATTTGAAATGTAATTTGTTCCACATTTGCGGGAAGGGAGATTTAAAAGACAGGATAATATTTTGAAATAAAATAACATTCATACAGTATCGTGAGGAAGACCCATTACAAATGTGTTTAGCTAGTGTTTCGGAAATGAAGGGAAATTGAGGCATCGTCAATTTTTTGGTACAACTGTACTGCATTAATTGTTCTACAGTCGCACTGTAACTGAAATCAATGAAAAATCAATGAAAAGTGCCCTCATAAGATAATATGTGTAATGATAAGATACCCATCAGCTGTTGTGTATTATTTGGACTCTTTGTGTATTATTAAGAACCTGGATATTATATCATATGGTGAAACACTGATCCATATGTTCACTGTGTGAGGGACTGTGGTGAAGGGTTATATTCCAAGCATTTTCGTTTCAGACCAAAACAATTAACCGACAAAAAATATCAATGTGACATTGATTTTTGCATTAACAATTCACAAACACGAATCGATGCTTTCATCGTTAATATGCCGAAGTTCCTTAAACGTTAACAAGCGTACTTTATATTTTTGTTTATGCTAGGCTGGAACATATTTTCGTAGAAGTTGAAGATTATCAAGTCATCGATCTGCTAAGAAGTATGGTATCCATTGTAAGAGCTGATAAAAAAAGATAAGGCTCTCGACTTGTTTTTGTGAGTGTAGCACTTAACACTATTTGAAGGTAAAATAGTATCAATATCCGATGTCTAATTCAGCTAAACTCATATCCATATCTCCCTGTGGGGAATCCGGGATTGGAAAGCTTGTCGTAGGAGGCAACTTAATGGTGTTGTAATTAGATAACGCGTGTCATCATACCCCCACGAAGTGGATCGACTGTCGTTATTGCTGAGTGTAGTCATTGTTTGACAAAAAACAAACAAATCTTTAACATTTAAGCATGTCTAGAGCCTCAGATATCGTAGAATATTTATCTCTGAAGCATTGGGTAAGATACCTATGGGTCACTATTTAAAAGACATCGTCTAAGGTATCGGACCAGGTGATAGCCAAACCGATTATAGCAGTTCTGTACTTACAGATAATACTTTTTGTGGGAAGTCGCTGATGCAAATCCATAAACGCGCGTGTTTTACCTTTCTTTTGCGCTTCTTGAGTTGTTGCTTTTTTCTGTTTAAAGTTTTCATTTGAGTTAAAGTCAGACATTATAAATTATTATATTGTTCAGACACTCTGCCTCATACTCATCTGAATAACTCATTTCCTGGTATAAGTACTTGATGTCTTTTGAAAGTGATTTTTAATTCAAGTACCATATAAGTACAAGCACCCAACAGTTCTGTTCGATTTCGGTTTGCACTTTGATGCAAATCAGAATCAAGAAAATCGAAACAACGCCAAACCCTAAGCTATACGTGATCAGTAGCCGACCCACATGTAATATGTACAAATCTGAGCAACAAACAATCATTTTATTCCTTCACTTTCTTACACCTGTATGCGGTCCGTGTCCAGAAGAAAAGTGTCTAAATTATCGTGTTGATGTGTTGATTCATTGGCGAGTGCCGACTGACTGCAAGCTGAACCAACCCGACCCATGTGCTGAAATGTATATAAAGTGTTTTAGATACTGTCACACTGTTATGGAGATGCTTAAGTAACAAATGAAATAACCTAATATTAGCGTCACTTCGCAAATCAAACAAATGTAATATGAATTTTATTCCTGGCTGTTCTTTTTTAATGTCAAACAGGATAATTGAGTAAGGATTCACAAAGAAATCCACTGTGCACCAAAGATCACTGTTAAGCTGCAGACAACGTGAGTGAGTGAGTTTGATTTTACGCCGCTTTAGCAATTTTTCAGCAATATCACGGCGGGGGACACCAGAAATGGGCTTCACGCATTGTACCCATGTCGGGATTCGAACCCGGATCTTCGGCGTGACGAGCGAACGCTTTAACCACTAGGCTAACCGACCGCCCCCTGCAGACAAAGAATACCATCAACGATATTTCATATGCAACATACGACGATTGTGTGTGGATAACCACTTCACGGCGTCGACGTTAGAACATACTGACGTGTGTATGATAGGAAATAGCAAGACTGGAATTCAATCTTTTTCAAGGAAGGTGACCTGCAATACGTCTGAAATGCAGATGCAGCAAGTGTCTGTCTGAGATAAGTAACTAACGCACCCGTCCTTAAACGCTATGTCTGGTGATAACTAATCAATTTAAGTGTCGTAGAGATTTGAATGTGTGATCGAGTTTGGTAACCTTGGCTCCTGGGTGTTCCCCACCCCCTTCGACCACTGGTGAAGGCTCTTTCACACTATCTATCACTGGTGAAGACTCTATCAAGCTATCGACCATTGGTGAAGGCTCTATCAATCTATCGACCACTGGTGAAGGCTCCATCATACTGGGGCGGTCGGGTAGCCTAGTGGTTAAAGCGTTCGCTCGTCACGCCGAAGACCCGGGTTCGATTCCCGACATGGGTACAATGTGTGAAGCCCATTTCTGGTGACCCCAGCCGTGATATTGCTGGAATATTGCTAAAAGCGGCCTAAAACCAAACTCACTCACTCACTCCATCATACTGTCGACCACTGGTGAAGGCTCTATCACACTATCGACCATTGGTGAAGGCTCTATTACACTTTTGAGCATTGGGGAAGGTTCTATCACACTGTCGACCATTGGAGAAGGCTCTATCACACTATCGACCATTGGTCAAGGTTCTATCACACTATCTATCAATGGTGAAGGCTCTATAACACTATCTCTCAATGGTGAAGGCTCTATCACACTAACTATCACCGGTGAAGACTTTATCAAGCTATTGACCATTGGTGAAGGTTCTATCAAGCTATCGACCACTGGTGCAGGCTCTATCAAGCTATCGACCACTGGTGAAGGCTCTATCACACTGTCGACCACAGGTGAAGGATCTCTCACACTTTTGACCACTGGTGAAGGATCTATCACACTATCGACCATTGGTGAAGGATCTATCATACTGTCGACCACTGGTGAAGGCTCTATCACACTGTCGACCATTGTAGAAGGCTCTATCATACTGTCGACCACTGGTGAAGGCTCTATCACACCACTGACCACTGGTGAAGACTCTATCACACTGTCGACCACTGGTGAAGTCTCTATTACACTGTCGACCACTGGTGAAGGCTCTATCACACTGTCGACCACTTGTGAAGTCTCTTTTACACTGTCGACCACTGGTGAAAGCTCTATGACATTAGCGACCACTGGTGAAGGCTCTTTCACACTATTGACCACTGGTGAAGTCTCTATCACACTGTCGACCACTGGTGAAGGCTCTATCACACTGTCGACCGCTGGTGAAGGCTCTATCACACTGTCGACCACTGGTGAAGGCTCTATCACACTGTCGACCACTGGGGAAGTCTCTTTAACACTATCGACCACTGGTGAAGGCTTTATCACACTATCGACCACTGGTGAAGATTCTATCACACTATCTATCACTGGTGAAGACTCTATCACGCTACCGATCACTTGTGAAGGCTCTACCACGCTACCGGTCAAGACTCTGTGACACTATCATGTGCAGGTCGACGGGACCTAGCTGTCATATTGCTCATCACTGAGCTCATATATTCTCTAAAATAACTGCCCTAATCTTCCAGTATGTGCACAGAAGATTGTACAGCGTAGTTACCTCTCTTTACGTATAGTTCATGTGATGCATTGTTGATTTAAGCCTTATCAAGAAAACATGATAACCGTCCCTATATATGCCTGTCCGCGTGTTATTGTTGTGTAGATGCGAAAATACAACTGCATGTTTACGTGTTGGGGCTGTGTTATGATGAAGCCTCTGAACAAACAGCCTTAGATTATGCTGCACCACGAACAATCATCGTATCAATGATATAGTATATAAGTCATTGCTTGATTGAAAAAGATGTATGTTGAAATCGCTGGCACCACTTTTCACTGGAATCTACATGTATGAATATGTGATGTGAGGTGAAATTGGGTTGAAGGTCGCGTCCGAGATTATTGCACTTATATAGCGACGTGCATGCACGTGTGTGTGTGGCTGCTTGTACTAGACCGGACTGATGCTGATTTATAGTGCTAGCCCACTGAGATATGATGCCGCAGTTTAACATGAATACCCCACTCAGACGCAGTATACTGACTCCGAGCCGACCAGTCCTTGCTTTAACCCCTTAATACCGAGCAACAACAACAACAAGTACCATCTTTTAACGTCTTTTGGTATGACGCGGCCGGGGATCGAATCCCAGACCTTCCGCTCTCCGGTCGGACGCTCTACCACTAGACCAAGGAGGCGGTCGTATGAATATGTGAGAGGGGATGACACATTGTGTTTCCCAGGTGTTTCATCAGATTCGTTATACATTCTGTCGTATTTCATTATCTTGGCGTTTTTGTGTGCTGAATGTTCTGAATATTTGCTGTTTCTCTAGAATCACAAGGCGATTTCAAGGCTATTAATAATTAAACTGCCCTCCCAAAGGCTGCAGACTGGACTGCTGCAATATATGGTTCAGATTGCAGTCCTCGGTTGGTGATTCGGGATGTCATGAATTCCAGATATGTTCAACATGAAGGCAACTTCTATTTTTAAAAAACAAAGCTCATTTACAAATATTTCAAAACCATATTCAGTAAAATTGGAGGACATTTTTCTTTCAAACACATCCCCATGCATTATTTCTTCACGTGGTATCCATTTTATGGCCACTATCCATTGGTCGATATCCATTGTGTGGCCACCGGCCATTGTATGATAAAGTCTTGTATTCAAAACGTGACATGTGATATTCTGCGAGTACTACACCAACGGTGTGCAATATGTCCATGTTTCAGGAGTCATAACAAACGACCATGTTGTTTTAAGTACGAAATGGCAATGGTTATTTTTTACAATCTAAAATACATATATCCGAATCATTTCCATCATATGTGAAAATCACAAGTATACAGAGGCTGACAAAATAGAACTGAAGCATGTTGATCTACTTGACTGCACACGTGTGAACAAGGCACATGGATTACAATGTTATGAACAAGATTTAAGCTGTCAATAAGAGAGAATTGGGGACGCAAAATGAAAGAGAGTTTATCGGTGAACATGGGATGAAAGTAAAATACCAATACTGGTATTAGGTGTCCATAGGTTGGTTTGTTGGTTTGTTGTTTAACGCCGCACTCAGCAATATTCCAGCTATATGACGGCGGTCTGTAAATAATCTGGACCAGACAATCCAGTGTTTAATATCATGAGCATCGATCCAGGCAATTGGAATCGATGACCAATCGATGCATCAACCAAGTCAACGAGCCTGATCTCCCGATCCCGTTAGTCGCCTTTTATGGCAGTCATTAGTTGCTGAAGACCTATTCTACCCCGTATCTTCACGGGTCCATTGTACTTGGATACATGAACATCAGAGCCGGTGTGACGCTTGACTATGTGGACAACGATGTTATTCACCATTCTACCCCGGATCTTCACGGGTCGTGTCCAGACACAACGAGACAGGCACGGTATCTATAGGAGAAAATCGGGGTTGCACGTGCATCCCGAACATTTAACTTCATTACATTAATACATATGATCATGGTATTGATTTTAATTTTCTTTCGTCCGACTCTCGTCTATCGGTTCTTGAAGGACAGTTTGCGGAAGATACATCTCCAAAAAATCCGTCTCGGAACTTTTGGCTCACAATGCAACACACCAAATAGAGTATAAACCATAGAACCACCGAAAACTATCATTAATACACATTGAACAAAACAATGGTTTTCGTCTGGTTGGTGGCAAAGTTTAAAATTTTGATCCCATATACAATAGTGTTGTTATCCAGTGCTTGCCATTGGATCTCATCCGTAATGTGGTAAGGTATGAGCACAACTGATGAGAGTACATTCACAGCCAGTGTTATGCCTTTGGCCTTGCGGATCTTCTGTTCTTTCTCTACAGGGCTCACATTATCCAGGGTAGCTACATGACTCACCTTTTCAAGGTTAGGTACGGGACTCACATAATCCAGGGTAGCTACATGACTCACCTTATCAAGGTTAGGTACAGGACTCACATTATCCAGTGTAGCTACATGACTCACCTTATCAAGGTTAGGTACAGGACTCACATTATCCAGGGTAGCTACATGACTCACCTTATCAAGGTTAGGTACGGGACTCACATTATCCAGGGTAGCTACACGACTCACCTTATCAAGGTTAGCTACAGGGCTCACATTATCCAGGGTAGCTACATGACTCACTTTATCAAGGTTAGGTACAGGACTCACATTATCCAGGACAGTCACATGACTCTGATGCATAGTCTATGCTGACAAATATCGATATAAATAGGCTGCCGTCATTTAGAATATTGCTTAGTGACGCGTTAAAATGTGCAACTCACAATTGTATTTAAACTTCCCTTTTGATTTGAAATAATTGGATCATTCTATAACAATGTACGTTATGCTTAAATATGTATAGTAACTCTTTCATGATGAAACTGCACAAATTAATATTTACCCGCAGAGACGCTGCTCAATAAAGGAAGGATCACTACTGATTGAAGATATCTACGACATTGAGTTTGCAGGAAGTAAAATTGTAATTAAGGATACAACAGGACGCGAACAGAGCATGCGTTAACTGGTTCTCACTTACGAAGGCACATATGAAACGGTTTGAGAAACAATCCCGTTGATCCTAAGACCATATGTCTTGACAAGAGACCAGTCTTTCGAAACATAAAATATTCATGGACAGGAGAATATTCTCGTTGTCTGAATGCTAAATCTTGATGATTTATGTAGCATCCATACCGACTAGGGAGAAATGAAAAAACCCGATTTGCACTATTTGTCTCCACAATACAGAACAGGCCAGTATAATGTTCGAGAAGAGAAATTCAAATGTTTCTTTAAACACATATGGTTATCCATTGGGACATATCGTGATTAAAAGCAGATTATTGAAACAACTTTGTTGTTGCACAAAGGGGAGTACATGATCTGAAACGATGTCGTCCCGGTGGTGTACGCTATTCAAATTGTTAATTATTAACGATGATGAGATGTGTTCTCCCAAGAATTGTGATGCCATCCGTACCATAACACTTCCACCCTAAAACGGATGACGTTGAGTAACGCAAGCATCGCGAAAACATTCTCCTGGACGCGTGTAGACCCTGGCACGACCACCCACCAGAGCTGTACAGATGAAACCTGGACTAATCTGTAAACAGTACACTGTCCCAGTCTGATCTTCTGAACCTCAGATGCTGTCTGCACCAAGCTAGGCGAGCCACACGGTCGTCGGGGTCGGACGTTGTGATGGCACTAATTGGTCTCAAACCCGGAAATGTAAGAGCTGTTGATGTGGCACTTTGGTGTAGATTCCACAAATGCACCAACCGAATTTGGTTGTCTTGTACTTAGAAGACCGGCCCATGGCAAGTCATGAGTTTTGCCCCGCTGCAGATAACGCCTCCAAAGTTATGATATTGTGATTTGATGAACAATAAAATGTTTGCAGCATACATGTACCTGCGGCGCATAGACGTTGATTTTCAGCAAGCCGTGGCATTGCGTAAATGATATTTATGACCACCTGATTGCTTAACAATCATAGTGTGTTGTTCACATTAAAAACCCTCGTTTGTGAGTACCATGCTCCCAATAAACAGGCAAACATCCAAATTGTGCGCCGTAAATCAACACGCTTTGTTACAAAGCCTCATTTCAGACTTAAATATGGTCCTGATGGTGATGGCATCAGTCACAGATACAGATATTTACTGGACGAGCTAGATCACTAAAATCAGGTCAAATCTGAGAAAAGGGACAAATTAAAGAATATGTAAGGAAAGTGGCAGGTGCTTTTCTCATGGACACTTCTATATTCCGCAAAAGTCATCCCGATTCAGTGTAGAATATATACGAATCTTCAGAAGTTGGAAGGCACAAATTGTGCGTTGATCTAGATTTTGCTTGACTTTCTGTAGTGAAGGCGATTTTACCTTGTTTCCATGACATTCTTCTTACCAGGCATAATATCCACAATTGTGAAGGTAAAATATCTTTGCAAAGTAATGAGGGAGGCATACGACTTAACAACAGACCAGTTTAAACAAACGATGTTTTTTATTTGAAATACATCTAAGGGCACCATATCCGTGTATGGTTTCACAGCATTCAAATGACATATTAAATGTAATCTTGAAATTATACGAATTCTCCCGTGCAATGTCTGACTGAGCGAATGGTGGTTATTATTCATTCAAGAGAGGTTCTTAAAAATGCCGTTTATATCTCTGATTCGTGTTGTTGTTTCATCCATAGTGATCCTTCCTAATGAGTGCGCAATGACATCCAAACGCTCCCACAGCCCACCGAGTGTATGCAGGATGCAGGTTTTTCCCTGGAGTATACCCACGCAGACGCATTGTCATCCATGCCAATTTACCCGTCCGACATCCGAGGCTATGTACGTTGTTAGCCAAGGTACCTCGTTGGCGTGTCATTTGGAGACGGTCTGTATATCTTATTATCAGTGGGCTGTAGAAGAACACTGTGTTTGTTCCCTTGATTAAACCTGCTTATCTCCTCGGTGTGCCTGTACTAACATTTCACCTAGGCACTTTACAGTCAGTCTACATTCTTATTATAGAAACACCAACACTCAATTATACTACACATATGCAAGTAATCCAATTTATACTGATGATGAACTATAGTTCATGATACTTTCATGTCATTTTTTTCATGATATAACCAGTCACACATTCAGGATTTTTACTGCCGTCCTTGATAGGATCATTCCCGATTAAAACAATTCAAAAGTCTGATCAAGATCCTGTGATTCGTGGTGGGAAATTCACAAACAATCAGATACTGTTCAGGAAGCGTCCCGATTCAGCCGTTTCCAGCCGAATTCGTCCCGATTCTCCCGTTCTCAAACCGAATCTGATCCGGTTCAGACCAAACCAACCAACCAAGCATTCGGCAAGATCTGGACGCAATCTGGACTCGATCGACAAGAACGGCAGTGAACATGTTATGCTCGTTCATCACGACAGCGTCCCGATCCATGGGACACCGTCCAGACAACACAGGACATTGTTACGATTTTGATCCGATACAGCAGAATCTGTCACGACATAGTCACGATTGTAATCCGACAAGACAAAATTAGCTGTTTCCCGAATGTTACGGGACGCACCATACTGTCTGGAGTGCGTGGCCGACCTCTCTGGACCTTTCCCGATCCGTAGGACTCTGTTACGAACGTAAACGGCTGCGTTCAGACAATGATAGGACATTCCAGATCATTGAGGATAGTAATCCGACTTTTTCACTTTTCGTGTCGTAGCGCTGTCTGATCTCCAACGGGAGCCATAATCGGCACTGTGTGAACCTGACCTTATCCTTAAGGGTAAAAACGTCGAGTGTGATAACTGCGATATTTGCACCTGTGTTTCTCATGCTGATTAGTTACTTGTAGCTATATGACGTCACTTTGCTTCATTGATAAGAACATTATTACATATATTGTTCATGAGGTCATACATCACCTGAACAATAGTCTGACCTCGGTTGACATTTGAGCAACATGACGTGGAGTATAACAGAAAATATCTTACTCTGAACTAGGAATTACAATTGGCCTGTACCTCGTGAATGTTGTATGTCCCTTGCCATAGAACCGTGTCTGAGACCATTCATTCGATCGTGGCTGAAAGTCCATACTTTCTCGTCGCATGTAATTTATTCTCTAATTATCTGCTGTTTCCTATATCTATGGCATTCATATGATTGAAACAACACATTAATTGAAACAACAAATTCCCCACAAAAAAACGTAAATCGCTCTGGAGTAGAACAATATAAGTAACGACTTTCTCAACAACTCCTGCCTACGTAGTGCACGGTAGTATGTGAAGCAAAGCTCTGAGTACCCCATGTCAGTCGTAAGAGTTGACTAAATTGACGATCGGGTGGTCATATGGACTGCTTCATTGTGGTAAAATACTACTAACCACTGGTTCGTCTGGCACAGGACATTGTGAACGCTAACCCATTCAGAGTTGCCTACCACAGCCATGAAGTGAGCTGTAATTGGGTCTGGGTCTGATTTAGTATGCTCTTAACAGGTAAATAAGTTTTGTGTTTAGAAATGTACAGCAACGGAAGGCGAGAGACATATTTCTTCTCAAGCGTACTTTATATTTCTGTTCATGCTGGGCTGGATCATATTTTCGAAGAAGATGAAGATTATCAAGTCATCGATCTGCTAAGAAGTATGGTATGCGTTGTAAGAGCTGATAAAAAAAAATAAAGCTCTCGACTTTGTGAGTGTAGCACTTAACACTATTTGAAGGTAAAATAGTATCAATATCCGATGTCTAATTCAGCTTAAACTCATATCCATATCTCCCTGTGGGGAATCCGGGATTGCAAAGCTTGTCGTAGGAGGCAACATAATGGAGTTGCAATTGGATAATGCGTGTCATCATACCCCCTCTAAGTGGATCGATAGACTGTCCTCATTGCTGAGTGTAGTCATTGTTTGACAAAAAACACACAAAACAAATCTGTAATATTTTAAGCATATCTAGAGCCTCAGATATCGTAAATTATTTCTCTCATAGTAATCACCAGTGCAGGACAAGACGGCTCTTATTGTTGCACTGGGTAAAAGACCTATGGGTCACTATTAAAAAGACATTGTCTAAGGTATCGGACCAGGTGATAGCCAAACCGATTTTAGCAGTTCTGTACTTACAGATAATACTTTTTGTGGGAAGTCGCTGATGCAAATCCATAAACGCGCGTGTTTTACCTTTCTTTTGCGCTTCATGGAGTGTTTTTTTCTGTTTAAAGTTTTGATGAGTTAAAGTCAGACATTATAAATTATTATATTGTTCAGACACTCTGCCTCATACTCATCTTCATAACTCATTTCCTGGTATAAGTACTTGATGTACATGTCTTTTGAAAGTGATTTTTAATTCAAACACCATATAAGTACAAGCACCCAACAGTTCCTTTCTAATCCGGGTTGCACTTTGATGCAAATCAGAATGATGAAGATTGAAACAGCGCCAAACCCTAAACTATACGTAGCCTACCAAGATGTTATACGTACAAAGCTAAGCTACAAACAATAATTTTATTACTTCACTATCCTACACCTGTATGCGGTCCGTGTCCAGAAGAAAAGTGTCTATATTATCGTGTTGATGTGTTATTCATTGGCGAGTGCCGACTGACTGCCAGCTGAACCAACCCGACCCATGTGCTGAAATGTATATAAAGTGTTTTAG